GAAGGAAGAAGAGAAAACCAATCCACATGACTCATCACGCGCCCTCACCCATCTGATGATAGGAAGAGTCTGGAAGAAGCTGGAGTGGGGGCAAGATTTTTCTAGAGTGAGTTCTGATGTGCCATGAGGAATTAGGGAATTAAGGGAAATCACTCAGAAGCCTGGATATCTGTGGCCTGTATTTTGGCTGACACACTACGCTAGCGCCCGGCTCCCTCCTGAACGGCTGTGAAAGCTGAGGGGGGAGGTTGACCCCTTGGGCCAAGCATGTGCGAATATTCCTCACAGGCCCGTTGTGGGCTGTGAACAAGATGTGTTAGACCCACCGCTGTCCCAGAAAGCCCCATCGAGGGAACGAGAAGGCTTGACCCAAGGGTACCTCGATGTCTCGGTGCTGAGGAAGGAAATCAAGAGGCCATCAGGAATGGCACACCGGTCGTTAAACTGCTGTCCCTTGGCTCCTCACACACCCTGCTCTGCTCTGTGAGGCCGGGTTGGGCTGCAAACCACCCTTCTCCTTTGCCAAGCAGGGCTCCTGAGCCTTCTGCGCAGGTACTGCTGCACCCTGAAAGCGAAGCTGGAGGGGCGAGGGGCCCCATCTTCTCTCCCGCACAACCGCTCATGGCCACGGCTTACAAGCAATCCCACAAGTCCCTGCAGTGTGTGTTGAGCAGGGCTTTACTCCAGTTTCTGGTCCTTGCACATTTCTAGAACCAGCCCCAGCACTGTCTTCTTAAGCAATACTCCTTCTTCAGAGGTCTGAGTCCCAGTCAGCCAGGGGTCCTGCCTTCAAGCTCCTGAACCATCAGACCCAGTGGGCAGCAGCCTCGCCCCCCACCCCCACCCCCCGGGACGGGCTCCTCCTCCAAGCCTCCACGTTGTTCTCATAACCTGACCCCTTCCCTCTGTGGCCCAGACCGGGGGCACATAACCCTCATACCAGCAGCAGCTCTGGGATTCCAGTGTCCTGATTTGTCTCTAGGTTGTCTGATGCCTGTCTAGCCCATTCCCTAGATAAGTCCTCTCTGTTAAAACAACCAGTGAGTTCCCTCTTTCCTGTCTAGAGCCTGATTTATTAAAAAAAAAAAAAAAAGATCTACCTGTCCCCCATCCAGAGGACTGCAGGTAAGGCATCTCCGAGGGAAGGGCAGGCTGTGAAGGGCAGAGAGTCAGCTTTACACACGTGCTGTGCCAGAGTGAATGCGAGGAGTGGGAACTTCCATGCCCCCCTTCCCTGACCCCCAAATCTGAAGGTCAGGTATCACCGAGGGCAGCACGACAGCGGGCAGGTGCGAGCCCCAAGACAGAAGGGCTAGGAAGCCCACCGCGGCAGCAGGCCCGGCTGGGGATGACGCCCAAAGTTTGCCCACTTTCGGGGTTGGTTACTGCGGGCCTGGCCCCAGCCATGAGCTAACTGCTATATTGTTTTTGTGATATCTAGTAACCCGATTTTCTGTTTTTACTTAAAAGTGACCCCCAAAAGTCCTGAAGACAGCCTTCAGTTTCACGTAGGAACAAACGGAAGAGCCGGCCCACTGAGCGGTTTTCAGGCAACACGGGACACAAACACGGCAGGCTTGTGATGACAGTGGGAAGTGTAGACAGGCAGGTAAATGCACTGGTGCGGGGAGCCGGTGGTGTATAGGAGCCGGGAAGGGCTCCGGCAGGAAGCAGACGCACTTCTCTTTTCTCTCTCAGCGTCATTACACTGTCCTGCCCAGGCAGGGCCCCGAGTCACATGCTCCTAGAGATTAGGGGACCTGCAGTGGCCGCTCTGTCGCTCTCCTGCCTGTCTGCACTCCAGGGCCCGCAACTCCCCGGTCAAAGGTGGTGTATGCCCACATTCATTCCTAGCAGGTGGCAGAAGGTCTGACCATGCCAGGTCCTTGATACACAGTTGCTAAGCGATTAGAGGGTCGCAGGGCTTTGTGGGAAGAAAAGACTACAGGACGTAGGTGGGGGGCCTGGAGGCGGGGCTCGGAAACATGTGCAGGGGAAGATGCAGGACAGCAAGCTGGCTGCGGGGCCATGTGAGGAGGCGGGGGGACTGGGGGTGAGGGAAGTGCGCCCCCAGAACGGGGAGGACGGTGGGGGGCTGGGCCCAGGGTGGGGACCCAGGCCGCAGGGGTGGGGGCGGCGGGCAGGGACCCGCGTAGCCGGTGTGGGGACCGGGGCCCAGGGCAGAGGCCCTGGCGGCAGGGGTGGGGGCTGGGCCAAGGGAAGGGACCCAGGAGGCAGGGGTGGGGGCAGAAGGCAGCGACCAGGGCGGGGGCGGGTGTGGGGGTGCAGGGACCTGAGCGAGGAAGGGAGCAGGGGAGGGTAACGGGGAGGCGGGGGCCGTCGGGCCGGGCTGCGGTGCCCGGGGACTGGACCGGACGGGCCCGCGCGCAGGGTCGCGGCCGCCCCTCCCTCCCCGCCCTCCCCGCCCTCCCCGGAGCTGTTTTCCCGGCCCGCTCTCGCTCTCTGAAAGCCTTATTGATGGCTCCGAGCGCCGCAGCCCACGGTTTCCTCAGCCCCCGGAGCAGCTTGCATTTCCTCTGACGTGGCCTCTGTCTCCTGCCCTCCCCAGGAGCCCCGGGGCTTTTCCATTTCAAATGCGCGACAGCTGGCCGCACCGGCTTCCGCCCGCGCGAAGAAGGGCCCTTTGCTGGCAGGGGCCGGCGCTCCCTTCTCTCCAGCTGTGACCGAGGCTGCTTCCAGGGCCTCGGAGGAGCCGCTGTCCAGCTGCGGCCTCGCCCTCTCCCGGGCTGCGCACGCGGATCAGCGGCCGCTCCCTGCCCCGTTTGTGGGGCGCGCAGGTGCGCCCCCGCCCCCAGCGGGCCCTTCCGCAGGCTCGGGCAGGTGAGCCCGGGCCTGACGTCACCGCAGGCGTGCCCTGGCGGGCCTGACGTCACCGCAGGCGAGCCCGGGCCTGACGTCACCGCAGGCGAGCCCTGGCGGGCCTGGTGTCACCGCAGGCGAGCCCGGGCCTGACGTCACCGCAGGCGAGCCCTGGCGGGCCTGACGTCACCGCATGTGAGCCCGGGCCTGACGTCACCGTAGGTGAGCCCGGGCCTGACGTCACCGTAGGTGAGCCCGGGCCTGACGTCACCGCAGGCGTGCCGGGGCGAGCCCAGTCCCGCCCTGTCCGGCCGGGGCCACCTAGGGCCCTCTAAGCGACAGGGCCTCTGGACTCCGCGTACCCGGGACCCACAATGGACCTCATGCGGGGGGGGCGGGGGGCGCACAGGAGCCCTGCGGGGCCGGTGGGCGTCCTGACTGCGCACAGCTGGATGGTCCCGGGAGGAACCCAGCTTCCGCCCTTCCCCCGCTCGGCGCTTTTGTTCACCCGGCTTTGGGAAACTTCCTGTGTCATATCCCGGGACTGTCCCTGACTTTTGAACCTATCCATCTGCTGAGCCCGTTGCCTTCCAAACTCCTTGGCTTTGGCTAGCCGTCCTGTCTCTCCAGACTATTTGTTTCTCTTTAGTAAGAAGAGCTCTTCACAATCCCTGGGTTTGCACTTCGTGCCGACTGCTCACGCCTTCCACGCGCATTCGTCTCCTTTAGTCCCCTCTACGTCGGGGTCGGTTCGAAGAGCCTTTTACACTCAGAACTAAGGCACAAGAGACTTGGCAGCGTTGGCCACGCACAGGCAGGGCCATGCCCCCCCCCCCCCCCCGTCTAGCAAGTGCAATGGCCCTGCATGTGGCTGGTCTGCCTTTTCCATCTAGACTCTCCCCGAGGACTGGACCTGGTGTCACTACGTCTGTGGGCCTCTCAGCACCTCCCCTTGCAGACACGAATGGATAGAAGGCACAGAAGGGAACAACTGGAAACATACTGAGCATGCGCACCACGTGGAGACATACAGCCCAAGCTTCCGGGGAGAGAATCTGATGTAAGTCACCCGGCCATCTAGCAAGGGCAGTTTTAATTTCTCCTTTTTTTTTTTTTTTTTTGGTGTTAAATAATATTTGGGTTGTACTGGACGGCATAAGGAAAAATAAATGTATTAAAGCTCCTATTCCTCACGTCTTGCTCCTTGTATTGGTCTATTTCATGGGCTTTTTATTATCAAAGTTGGTTATTCAAGAGATGATGGACATGAACTCAACAGACTTTCCCTTTTCATCTAGTATGATGCACGCCCAGGCTGGAAGCTATAGTGGTGTTCTTTTATTTCAACATTGATTCAATGCTTCCAAAACATATTTAATCACCACCACAACTCAGTGAGACAGTTATTGTTATCCACGATTTATAGATGAGGAATCAAGATCAAAGAATCAAAAGCAGAGAAGGACACAAACTCATTCTAGTACACTGGAGATCTTGAACTCTTAGTCTTCACTTTGCCCAGACATATACTATGCTTGGACCATTTTAGAAAGGTAAATTAATGAAAAGCACTTAAAATTAGTTTATGCTTTAAATGCCCCAGTTTCTGACCAAATATCAGGTGATCTATCAACACACAGGCTCCATTTATATGTGGCAAAGGTAAGAATCTATTGATATTCATTAATCCCTGACCACTCACTGTCTTCTAAGGGAAGCTCTCCTGTGTCCCAAACTTACTCTCCAGCCTGTTCTGCTGCTTCACAATATCTGTCAGGCTCCTCAAAGTATTGATTTTGCCTGAAAAAAAGCTTCCAGGGACAGTCTGTGGATACCCATCAGTGGAACAGTCTGTGATATGGGAAGAGTTGTCTCTAAGGGGTGGTAACTAGACCTCTCTCTGTCAGAGTCTGTGGCCCGTGTCTCTCGACCTCTGTATTCTGACATAGATTTCAAAGATCAGTCAGGGTATTACAGGGATCTAAGGATGGTTAAATATCAGAAATCAATTAATTATTAGAAAACCACATGATCCTTTCCGTAGAGACAGAAAACTAACTCGATAAAATTCAGCTCTCTTTCATAGGAAAAAATCCTCAGGTGTTGAACTGGTGGTCTCAGCCATTGCAATGTGAAAAGAAAAAAGAAAAGAGATGAACGTTTTTAAGATTTCAGTAACAGTGCTCACTGTGACAGCACATAGACTAAAATTGGAACCACACAGAGTAGATTAGCATGGCCCCTGTACAAGGATGATACAAATTCATGAAGCATTCCATATTTTAAAAAAAAGTTTTAAGAGCTAAAATTGCTCTTAAATACAAATATAATATGTTTCTCATAGAAAATCCAATATAATATATAAACCATTAGTACAAATGAGCAGCCTCATATATTCAATTTATTTATTCAGCAAATATATACCCAGTGTAAGAATGGCTATTCTAGGTATGGCAGCTACAGCTGTAAGTAATACAGAAAGTCCTGCCCTTGTGAGGCTAATCTTTTATTGAAAAATATTTACAATATGTCTCATGATGACAAATATTCTAGAGCACAATAAAGCATAATAGGTTCTTTTATATGTATGTGGTGGTTCTTTAATATGTAAGATGACAGCTGTGTAAAGCCCTAAAGGAAGTGAGAAATCTCTAGCTGGCGGAGATCATTTCAGACTGAGGGGGACAATGAACACAAATGTTCTGAGGGAGAATTGTGCCCAGTGAGCTGGTAAAGTGCAAGGAAGTCAGTGAAGCAGCATGAGAACAATACTAGATGAGGCTGGGGAAGTAACATAGGGCCAGATGACATAATGCCTTGTGGCTCCTTGAAAGATTTGGCTTTTACTCTGAGTGAGATGGAGCTCCTTGAAGACTGTGGTCCCACAAGAGCACCTTGTCTTCTTTGCTAAAATAGAGGGCAGTGAGTGGAGAAGCAGGACATCAGTTAGGGGGTTACTGCAATAATCGGGGAGAGAGATGTCTGCGGCTTGGACCAGAAGTAATGCTGCAGGCGTGAGGTATGAATAACTCCTGACTCTATGCTAAATGGAGAACTGGCTTTATGATAGACTCAGTGTGGCACCTGAGTTTTTAATTTATGAATTAGAAGAATGGAATTTCCATTAAGCAAGATCCTGAAGACTGTAGAAAGGAGTACATTTGGAGGAGAGGGGGAATCAAGAACTTGGTTTTGCACATATTTGTTTTGAGGCGTTGAAGTGGTCAGTTTGGCCAGGCATATGCTGTGGTGACAAAAACAAATCTCAGTGGTATAAGGCACAGGTTTATTTCCCACTGATGCCATGCCCATCGTAGATTTGACAATTCTCCAGGACAACCGCTTTTCATGCAATGACTTAGTAACGTGGCTCTGCCCTTCCTACTCACAGCCTTCACGCTCACTGTTGAAGGCAGCTGCGAGATTAGAAAAGTGGGAAGTGTTCTCCTGCCTCAGGTTGTGGATGTGCAGTGGAGGCAGTGGTGTGTTATCTGTGAATGATGGGGTCTGAAGCATTCATTATCCCTGCTGTTAGAGAGTTGGGTCCTGATGGAACCCCTGATATGACTCTGTATGGATTGTCTCCTATAAAAGGATCCATCTAGCCCATGGAAATGTCTTCTCCCTGAAGCACCCACTTCCAGTGATGGCTGACATGGAGGGACGTAGGCAGCTCTTGACTCAATTTGGAACAACTCTGATGGTCCATCCCAGCCTCAGAAGCCCTCGTGGGATTAACTAAGGCTCTGTGGTAATTACATTGGAATGAACTTTTCCCAATTCTCCTTCCCTCAATCCCTTACAGATGAGACCCTGAAGGCTTGGCCCCCATAGCCTCTTGCACCAAATCTCTGTGAGTCAGCTTCCCAGGAAAACATAGTACATTTAACAGATTTCTTATTTTCTTGATGAGCAGTCACATTCTCCTACCTCAGTGTTAAGTGTTATGAGGTAGCTACACTTGTGAGCATAGCATAATGTACAAACTTGTCAAATTACTATAGTGTATACATGAAGTTAATATAACATTGTGTGACAACTATACTCAAATAAAAAAAATAAATAAAATTACAAAGCTTCTTTTTAAAAAGGTGTTATGAGAAACACAATGGGTGTGTGCCTGGAACAGAGACACATTTGTGAACGCTCATGATGTACATCACGTACATTCCTTTCAGACATCTAAGAAGAGGTATTAAGTGAACAAGTGCATATGTGAAGGCAGACTTTGGGACTTATATCCAGACTGGAGATGGTACTCTTGGGTGATTAAGGTTAATACCAGATGACATCTCCTAATGATGAGGGCAGATAGAGGAAAGCAGAGGTGTGAGGACTGGGCTCTGGGCACACGAACATTCCAACATCTAGGAGATGAGGAAGAACCAAGGAAGAAGACAGAAGTTAGAGATATGCCCGTCCTATGCCTTAGCTAGTCCTCAAAAATTCTCACATGGCACACACGGACATAAGTTCTTAGATGGACGTTGAACCACTTCTTTACTATGGAATAATGAAACAACTCAAATATCCATCAACACAAGAAAGGACAAATAAATTGCGGCAAAATCATAAAATAGTATAGACCATAGCAGTTAGAGTGGATGGAATCGAGTTGCACGCATTGATGTGAATAAATCTCAAAAACATAATGTTGAGCCAAAAAAATAGGTTTCATGTTTATGCATATAATAAGAAACATTTATATGAAGTTTAAAAACATTGCAAACAATACCATACATTGGTAATGGACCTGCACTTGTAAAGTAACAGTACGATGGGCACAGAGGCAGCTGTGCGTTCTGCAGTGGGGGACAGAACGGGAGTAAGTTTGCACACTGATATGTTTGGTGTCCTCTGCTATTACTGCGAAGGTCTAAAATGTTTGACATAAAAAGGTTCCTTCCCATCTTGCTGGTATAAAGTGCACAAGATATTAATAAAATCAGGTTTCCAAAGTGTCTTTGGTAACAACAGATGTAAAATCATTGATAGCTGGGAACTTTAATTTATTTGGCTATTGTTAAAGCATCATCGTAACAGTAGTAATGACAGTGGTAACGATTATAACAGTAGTGTACCATTATTTGTTTTAACCTGTATTGTGACCAGATCTGTGCCAAGCTAAGCTTTTCCTAAGCATTATTCTACTCAATGCTCATCATGACCCTAGAATAGAGATGGTTATTAACCCCTGTGTTGCAGATGAGGAAACCGATGCCCAGAAGAGAATAAAGAAGTCATGTCTCACAGCTAAGAAGTGGCAGAAGCAGAGTGTGACCCATCTTAATCTGACCAAGGTTAAATATTCTCACATGCAATGCTCCATCGTTTTCTCTGCCCAGTGCGAGGCTCAGAGCACTTGTTGAGTTACTGCCGAAAACAGAAATGAACCAGAACGGGCAGGCTTGCAGATGCCTGTAAGAACAGCGGTGATCTGGTACCCATGCTGCTTCTCCCCCATCCGAAGTGTGAAGCCACTGAGTGGCAATATGAAGACCATCAGATCTTCTTTCCCAGGTTCCCAGGGAGATGAGTTCAATTCCTGTTCTGCCTATGTCTTGGTAAGAGAGGGTGTCATAATTGTCACTCTTCCTCTTCTGGGGAAATGGATGTCATTCAATTGAGCTGAATTTATAATCACAGACAGGAATGACCTCCGAGGAATTCATTTCCATTCCCTCAATTTACAGACTGAAAGAAAGAAGCCGAAGAAGTTAAGAAGCTTCCTCTTTACAAGCAGCTTTCTCCATTCCTAGGCCCAGGGGTTTCTAGACTCCGTTGGCTCAGGAGAATCACCTGGAGAACTTTAAACAATTCTGCTAGCCTAGCCACAGAGCCAGACCCTTTGATTCAACTGGTCTATGGCGGGACTTGACATTGGTGGCTGCTTACTGTCCCCATGTATTTCTGACGTGAAGCGGTATTTCTGATGTTGAGGACCCCTGTGCTTAAGAGTAGGGGTGAGCTCTTCGATACTCATCTTCGATCTCGCTGGCCAGGATACCTTGTCTGAGGCCATTTGTCTCATTTGCCAATAGGAAATGGATTGATCAGGAACGAACTGAGCAGTGTTCGCTTTTTAAAACCTTATGGAGATCCATGGTCATATACTCTTTGTCCACACACAGGTCTTCTCCTTATGTTAGTTTTTTCTTTAGTGAATTTTGTTAAGAAGTAAAAAAAGTGATAAAGCACTCTTTTTAGCAGCTATATATGGAATGTGTTTGAAAATAATGGCAGTTCAGAATTTTAAGGTTTGTATTTAGTCCTATTTTACAAATATACACAAGCCTAACTCCTGTTACCACAATGTCTGTTTTATTTAAACCAGGATCATCAAACTTCTTCTGTAAAGGGCAGATAGTAAGTACTTCATTGCTGTCTGCAGACCCCCAAGTCTCTGTTGCATCTACTCAACTCTGCCTTTGTAGCATGAAAAACTTCCATAGAAGAGACGTAAAGAGAGCAGGGTGTGGTTGTGTTCTGATAAAAGTTTATTTAGAAAAACAAGGGTGGGCTGCATTGGCTCACCACCAATCTCTAAAGTATCAGATTGAAAGAGATAATGTCTGGTGATGGTCCAACTCTTATGAAAGCCAAAATATAATTAAAAAGCATTTCTTAGATCGTGGAGGGTTTCTGAAATTAGGAAAGAATTCTCCCAATGTTGTTCTCATATTGTACTCAGATATCCAAAATTTTATAAGACCCCAATAAAAAGAAGCACAGTGTTTATTCCAGCATCTTTTGCATCCCTTTGCATCTTTTGAGTGCACTCTACCTTTAGCCTAACTTAGAAATGTTTCTTTTTGTCACCTTCATGAAAGCTTTTAAAAAATAGCCGAGGTAGGCTGCCCTAAACTCCAGAGCAGTCAAATAATTACTTGGAAAATGGAAAGGCAGTGAGCAGCCAGTCGTTTCATGATTTCGATTTCATGATTGCTTCATTACAGAACACACATGCATAAAACTTTCAATAGACCTGCATCATTCGAACCAGAGCTTTCAGTTTCAGCCCCAACCACGCCACTTATGAAAGCCCGGGCTTGCTTGATTTAGGTTTTCGAACAAACCCAGGAAAGTAGTTGCTAGAACAAAGAGAATTCTACGTGTGCTCTGAGCATTGCTCTAAGGCTTTGGAAGGAAGGGAAATGGCTTCCTCTTGCTATTCCTTCAGCTTCTAGATGCCTATCTAAATCTGAAGAGCCATCTCAGAGCTACACAGGGCTCGTTAGGAGCAGGCTAAGGTTCTCTTGGAATCCTGGTACAACTTTCCATTGCA